TGTTATCGCGATGATACTACCTTATAAGTTTACGAGCTATAATCATTCTATCTAAAAATAGCTAATATAATAGAATTAGACCAAAAAATTGGTTTAGGGAGTATCTAGTACTTAGGATAAGTTTTATTTTCTAGGTAATTGTCTATAGGATAGCAGATAGTGCCTTTAAAGGGCTTACTACTATAACTAAGGTTCTTACCGCAAAACTACCTAATAGAAGAGAGTTATAGACCTTAGAATAGAATGAAACTATAAAGGATTTACTATTCTTTAGAAGGGTTACTGCTTAAAGACCCGACCTAACGAAGGTATTAACCTTCTCCTTATTATAGTACAACTTTACTACCTTAGCCCAGCGGGATAGGTTTAAAGACCAGTTACACATATATAGAATTCAAGGAGGCATTGTAAATAAGATCGACTATAAGTATATTTATACCGTTATACCTTAATTTTACTAAGGAATTTCAGCTAAGGCTTCTTAGGCTACTTATAGCCAGGCTCTTAATTACTAGAATTATAATACCTATCTAAAATATTAGTCTTCTCTTAAGGTATTAGATATATAAGCCTTATTCTATGATTTAGACCCTAACTACGAATACTACAATATAGAATAAAGTATATCTTATTACTAAGACTTAAACGTGCCGCTAAAACTTAATATAGCTATAACTATATAATTTAAATCTAATAATAAAATTATTAAGATCAATTAGAGAATTACCTACTTAATACAGGAGATTACTAGAAGACTAGAAGAGAATAGGGACCTTATATTTAAATAGGATTGTCTCTATAATAAGAAAGTAAAGAGATTACTTACCTAGAAGAAAGACTTTATTAAAAACTAGTAGGATACTTTATATACTAAGTATATATCTAGGAACAACTTTTCTAAATATAATCTAACGCCTCTTTTCGATATCTATAAGAAATATCTACTAGAGCGCTCCTATCTTAGTAAGAATTTATTAAAGAAAGTAACTCTAGATAGTAAACTTAGTCGATAGTACCTAGAAGATATAGTCACTATTTATATATCGATAGAATATACTATTTACTACCCTAGTATAGTCCCTAAGGAAGGCCGTTATCTAATATATAATAAGTCTATACTAGAGTAAGTATACCTAAAGAGTATTATAGATTAAAAAGTTAATAAGAAGATAGTATTCTACTATAAGGGAGAGCTAAGTATATACTATAGTGTCGAAGAAAATCCTTAAATAGTATATAATACTAGTAGTACTATAAGAACAAAAAGTATACCTATCGACGCGTATAGCGCAGCTTTATTTAATTTTATTATCTTTATACTAAACTCTTCCTTAACAAAGATTCCTAAGAGAATTATTACAAATACTATCTTAATAACCTTAACCCCTAATATAGTCTTTTAACTTTCCGCTCTATACTTATTACACTAGGATTCTGTCTATTCTACCTAGGCGATAAAAGTAAGAAACTAGACGAGAGATTTTAATAATAGGTTATAAAATCAACTCTTTTAAATCATATTAACGAATACTTAGGGTCAGCGGACTCTTTAGCCGCAGTCTTCTGCCCTTATCTATATTATAAAGGAAGGAAGTATATTAATAACTTATATCTCCAGTGGCACTTCTTTGATATATATTCTATAGAAGAGCCCCGGTCAAATTGTATTAAACAAAAAAGAAAGTAGCAGCTTCAGTCAGAGCCTGCAGGAACTACTTTTAGGAATTTAAGTGATAAAACATTACCGAGTTTAGAGGATTATTTTCTCACCAGCACTCTGCTAACCAGTTTTAAGGATTCGGATATAACCTCCGCAGATGATTTATTTATAGAATTTGTACGCTTAGATAACGACTAGGGCAGAGCATTGACCAGGATTATATCATTGATAATAACTATTACAAGAAACGAAGGTACTTGGTATTGCACTAATCGTCATTCCTCGCTATTTATTACACGATTAAACGATGCTAGATTGACGGCATATTTGTTGGTCAGAGATTTAGTATTAATACTTATTTCTTTCTTCACATACTTTCCTTAACAATTTTAATGGGTCCGTGGTCAACAATGAGAGTGATTGTACTTTACCTTAAGAATTACGGCATATAGTACCCCTGACTTTACAGCACTTCCGGAAATTGGTATCACCACATACACACTTCGATAGATTCTCGAACCCTAGTGCCAAGATAACTAGTCTATTCTATTACATTTAACAATCGCATAGGGAGAGGGCAACAACACGTTCCAGCTTACTCGAGGATCTTAACTGGGGTATTTTTCCATATAAATACGCGATCACCATGCGATCTGGATGGGCATCTAGGGGGATATCCGTATAAAAACCACAGCGTATAGACCATCAGCACCTAACGACACCCTTAGATGTACATCCCCTCAGTATGGCTCTATAAGTATGCATTTCACAGGCTCATTCACCGTTTCTAGGCAGGCCCTTAGTAATATATGAAGTACAGGCCTAAGTACTCAATCTCGCTCTGATCCTATCTAGCATTTTGCGAGTAAAGTAATTGCCCAGGTATCACCTATATCATCAGATCGACGGCTACACCAATCAAGCGCATCCACTTACAAAACCTGGTTTTATAAAACGAGGTCACTAGGCTCAACTGCTATAACATTTATAGAGAAGCAAAAAGTAAGGGAAGTCTCTTTCATATTCACACTAGTAATATAGAAAACCCAGTAGGCAAAACCATATCTAAAGAGATCTATATACTATTAATCTTTTCTCTGTACACTATAGGGTCGGGTAACACGGTTCTATCTGAGTAGGAAAAGAAAGTAAGAGTAATCGTTTAATCTAAGAGCGGGAGGATGAGCTATATCATAAATAATATTCAGAGGGATAAGGCCATTTATATAGTCACCCGATAATCATCTTATCCAGAGTTAGTGCAGCTAGATATTTCGCTTAATAATGCTGAAGTAGATGATAGAGACGATGCCGATATCGAAGGTATAGATTCCGATGAAGATAATGATTCCGATGCCGATAAAGACAATTCCGATGAAGATGCCGATGAAGACAGTGAAGACAGGTCGGAAGCAATACACAAGCTGCCAACCTTAAATCCGTTGTCCAATGTACACCCTGTCTCGTCTCCATTTTGGTTATAGAATTTAACCATCCCATTTTCGTTTATATCTATCCATACAACAGGCATGATATTATCTTTCGTGCTACCGCATACGCCCACATCGAGCTTAGAGTAGTCCTTACGGATACCATGTATAATCATACTTAGATCTAGGGTTTCGTTAGTACTAATAGTATATCGGTAGAACTATTACACACCAGAACAATCGTCTCTATCAAGGAGACCAAAAGATGATAAATATCCCGTGCAGCTATAGTTATTATTAGACCATATCACATATTAGCGATCATAATCGATAACCGTAAGACTGCTACCTAAGGCGGCGCGTATATAGACGCTAGCGAGAAGTAGGAAGATAGAGAAGGTCATGTTTCGAATATTTATAAGGATTAAAGGATAATAGACGGATTAGTATCTCCAGCCTTAAGCTATTATGAAAAGTAACGAATTTGTACGGCATATCTGCAAATTTAAATGTCCACACATCTCCTGATACACTGTGATAAACCGTGGCAATACGCGCGCAACACTTGCGACACACTTTACGACACGCTTTACGACACGCTTTACAATACGCTTTGCGACACGCTTTGCAACACGCTTTACGACACGCTTTACAACACGCTTTGCGACATACTTTGCGACACACTTTTTAAATCGAGGTCCCACTAATTCCTAACTTAATCTTAGCTCCTAAGCCAGCTTGCGTCCCTACCCCTAATACATAGCTTTATCTAGACAGATATATAGGGTCTTAATACAGACCATCATCTACCTATCTATAGCGGCATGGTGCTCAGGTGGATTGGGGTTACTGCTCTAGGAGTCGCACTATAAACTCAAGTATTAGCGCTATCCTATAAATTACTCGTACAGTTTGATGATTTTTTAGTCTACAGCCTAATTTAGACATATAAAGGCAGGTATTCTTCTATATTAATCTTAGATCACATATCCCAAAGTCTATTAGGCTTAAACGTAAGTTTTAATAATATCTAGCAAATACTATATATACTAATATCGCCTAGAATAAAGGGAACTGTCACCTGGTTTTGCGTGTCTTGTCATAATATTAATTCCCATCGTATAAAGATCAAATTCACAGGAAACGAGCCTAGATCCTATTTTATTTGCGTTTAGTCGTATTTACTCCCTGCTAAGCGGCGCATTAACATCAATACACTATACACAAATTGCTTAGAGGAAACCAACCTTCTATTATCGAAGGATCAGCGAGAGTTCATCTACAAGAAGAAGGATTAAATCATATTTGAAAGACGTGTTGTTTAGGCAAAGCAGGAGTGGGACCTTTAGGTTACTTCTCGCGAATGCTAACGCATTAACGAATCTATGCAATATAATGGGGGCTTGTGTGTTCATCTATTTAGTGGTGTTGGTATATATTAGTCTCATTTCGAGTTCTTAAGGCAGGGCGGATCAGAAAATCCGCCTAAGGGCAAGATTGTAAGATATTAGGTTATAGGAGGAGTTGGCATAAGAACACTGTTATAAGTCTAAGTTCTGTACAGTGTGTGTTTTTCATTTACCCTGACCCCTCGCAAATTGAAAGCGATATGCAGGATGTTCTGTACAGTGGAATTCGAAATCAGATTTAACTTTGCACTCTTACGATATCATTCCCGGACCCGTAGGGACACACTAATCTAATTTTAGCTCTACCCCTGGTAGAGCTGTATCGTACTGGAGACGCGCGCTGCGCACGCTGTGGCCCTGAAACGATTTATAGGGAAAGGCCGGAACAAGAAGTGAAGTCATATTTGTGTTGCTCGACTGGTACTTGGAATTAAGTGACATTGACGAATCAGGACGTAGAAAAATTTGACTAATAGCCGCAAAATCTTGAATAACCATGAATCAGGTGTCGTATTTCGATTGTGCAAGTATATCGGCATATGATGTCTTACGTGGTCGTTGGGAACGCCTCTCCGGAACTGGGGTGGTAGTCCGCGACGAGGCTTTGATTTCTTCGGGCGTGTCTGGCCATGTAATTTGCGCGTCTTCCTCATCGTCGTCACCAGGCGCAATTATTTGAGTGGGATCCTGGGACTGGTACGTGATAGGAAGGGACTCGGTCTGTGGCCTTGCAGCCGATTTGGTGGGCGTTTGTGGGCCGGCTCTTTGAGACCAACGGTCCACGCGCTTCCGTTTACCAGTAGCGGGAGGAGTAGCGGGCAACTGGTGATTTTGTGTTGGGAGAAAATGTATATCATCCGTAACGATAGCTAACTGGCGATGCTCTTTTGTGAGGCCGAAAACACGACCGGTCAAGAAAACATGGGTGTTCATACTCAAGGGTGGAAAGTTGGCCCAACGCTGACCATTTTTAAAGTAAGCGGTGATGGGAAAGGTGTGATTGGTTCGGGTTGAACTATTGTAAACAGTAGTCTGCAGACGGTAGTGAAGAAGAGTGGGCCCGCCGTTAGTTGGCCACCGCGCTCAATAACGACACCGAGAAATGTCACTATTGGCTGGGCAGCCTCGGGACAGTACATGAAATACGATTCGATATCTTCTTCATTCCCCGGATGACTAGATTGCGTAAGCTTGGTACTGTAGCAGATGGGACAAACTGACCGGTCCAGATTGTGGGCGTGGAGGAGATATGAAATTCCTCGTCATCAGATGAAGTAGTCAGGAATGAACCGGAGGAATAGACGAAAGTGTTTGGTTTGTAAAGGTCGGACTGGTTGCCCTCATTGAAAAATCTGACCAAGGTGAGAATTTTATCCTGCTTAACATCGTCTGACTGGATATCTTTCCATGGTAGATTGAGCGAAACACGGAGTTGCATGGAAAGCCCTTTGCCGGGACGTGTAGGATCCGGTTCGACATGCTCGACAAAGTCCCGAATATGGATAATAGCGGGAAAAGTTGAATTGGAAGGCATAATGTTCTCAGGCGTATATCAGACCTAAAGAGGTGGAGGTGAAGTATGTCTGATCAGTGGGGTTTCTAGCGAAGGCTCGGGAGTGACTGTGTGATGAGAGGAGAAGTGAGTAAGAGAGAGACGTGATTTTGTGTTTAGGGTTATTATGGCGCATAATCCCTGTTGTAAACACGGGCACGTATATGATATATCCTAGATATATCTCACCACTGGTTTGATAAGAATCTTAGTGGATGAATTTAGGATTTAGGTTTTTGCAAGCCATCATTTATGTATGTAAGACGTGAGAATGCAACTCGTTATGACTCAACAAGGTTGATAAGAGAATTGGTCTATACTATTAACACGCAGCGAGTTTCGAAAACAGCTTAGACCTCAAGGCAACTCACTATTTGTTTATCGGCGTGTACTCGGAACTGTACTATGATCAACTACGACGTAATTAATAAATATATAGTAATAGATAATTCCTTTAATTCCAGACCGACCGCATCTTTATTATCCGGATCCAACTTCAACCTGCATCCTCGTATGGACAGACCGAAGCTGGGATTAATTAGTGATATGATACATGGCGAATGTAGGGAACAGACCATCAAAGATATCTGGTTACAGCATGCGTACTATCGAAATATCCATATTCAATAGAAGTGCGAATACTAGCGTGAACATTGTTTTGTAATTGACATTGACTTCTCGGTTTTCATACTAAGTAAAGCAACCGACGGCCATCCCCCGCACAACGGCTGTTCGCCAAGCACCCTTGACAAACTGTTGAGCAGTGGTTCACAGCTACATTAGGCGATCTTCTCAGTTGTGTTCAAGTAGAAGACTGGAGTTCGATGATGAGCCTCTCGATGCGTTGACGAATTTCGTGACGGATAGTCCGTACAGCATCTAACCCTTGCCCGGCGGGGTCATTGAGTTGCCAATCGAGGTAGCGTTTGCCAGCGAAGAAGGGGCAGACATCGCCACAGCCCATGGTAATGACCACATCGCTGTCTTGGACTGCATCGGCAGTGAGAATCTTGGGTTTTTGGTTGCTGAGGTCGATGCCCTCTTCGCGCATAGCTTCGACAACGACTGGATTGATGGAGTCGGCTGGGGCCGATCCGGCAGAGCGGACTTCAATGGTGTCACCAGCCAGATGCATGAGATAGCCGGCGGCCATTTGGGAGCGACCAGCGTTGTGAACGCAGACGAACAATACACTAGGCTTAGCCATGATGTGCCTTTGGGATCGATTGGGCGGTCGTTGTGGAACAGCTCGTTGGAAGAGCGACTCGGTTGTTAAAGTAGTCCGCAATTGACTGGTACAGGTGGCAAACGTCTCTTCAGGTAATTATGAAACGAGAAAAGCTTCATAAGCGGTGTCTCAATTCCCGTATAAGTAATGTGCGAGAGACTGAATGGAGGCAGCGCGTGGGGTTTATATAACAAGTAACAGCTTGTGAGAGAGGGAACTCAACAATCCGTTGATCTAGAACATTCTCTATCTAGCAGAAAAAGGCAGACTTGTGTAATATCTCATTCACTAGCGGCTGTTGCCCCACAGTTTATCAAAGCGTTGATTGAGAATCTGTGATATAGTCACAGTATGTGCAATGTCACATCCTGCCGGCATTGCCGGATTAGAAATCAATACCTGGCCATAGCCTCAGATCCTGAGCACTAAGTGCAATTTAGACTGGCAGCAAGCAGGCCTTATTCTATTACGTGACGAGAGGACACTGCTATCGAATCCTATTCCAACACGGGCGAAGTTCTGTACCAGCCATAGACATGTCACTCGAACAATATGACTGGTCAAAGTTTGTAAGAAACACAGAGACTGCATTCTATCCAAAATGCGTGCGGAACATCGAACAAGTTCGAGCCTCGAAATCTTACATGCCAATGACAAAGCAAGAGTCGCCAAGAACTTTTGCTGTATGTCACTCCCTTGTGCTGATTGGCTAAGCGTAATAAAGTGTCACTCGTCTAGTTTGATTGGCCACCAAAATGCCCTTTCCGAGTTAATTTGGATTAGTGTCGCCCTTCAAGGCAAGAAATCAAAATCTATATATATTGCAGACGACTCTAGCTAACAAGGGTTTGTGCAAATCACTAGCGTACGTTTTGATTTTCCTTCGAAATATCCATTGAGGACAATACTTTCGCAGATTCCAAGCCATCATATCTTATTCGGAGCTGGATATGGCAGCCCCAACAGGTCTGCACCCGACGAAGGAATCGGAATATCATAACTCAATACTGCATAGCCAGCCGCCAACTCCTACTGCTGAGGATGTCGAAAAGCAAGAATCGGAAGAGTCTACAGCCAAGCAATCAGCCTTCAAAGGTCTTGGCTGGTTAGATCGTTTTCTCGCCTTGTGGATCTTCCTTGCCATGGCCGTCGGAATTATCCTAGGCAACTTTGTTGAAAACACGGGTCCTGCTCTCCAAAAAGGGAAATTCGTGGGGGTTTCCATCCCAATCGGTATGTGCGCGTGAACTGTGAATTTACAAGGCCTTGGCTAACCGGTGCAAGCAATTGGTCTCTTGGTCATGATGTATCCTATTCTTTGCAAAGTACGATACGAATCTTTGCACCATGTATTCCGAGAGCGTGGGGTCTGGATTCAAATTGGGTTCAGCATCTTCATCAATTGGATTATTGCCCCTTTACTGATGGTGAGACTAATCCCACTCCTCATGGTGATGTGTACTGATATGATCCAGCTTGCACTAGCATGGGCTTTCCTACCGGACGAGCCAGAACTTCGGGAGGGGTTGATTCTCGTTGGATTAGCCAGATGCATCGCTATGGTAAGTTACCCCTTTCTTTGTTTATGTTGTACCGGATTCAGAGACTAATTGATCATGATAATAGGTTCTTATCTGGACCGGTCTCGCTGGCGGTGATAATGAATATTGCGCTATTCTTGTTGCAGTAAATTCACTGCTCCAGATGGTGCTCTTCGCTCCCTTGGCAATCCTCTTCATTAAGGTCATTGGCCACTCGGGCAGTCAAGTTACACTCTCATATTCTACCGCTGCCAAAAGCGTGGCGGTGTTCCTTGGCATTCCATTAGGTGCCGCAATCATTACCCGCATTGTACTTCGAAAGATAACTAGCCCACGTTGGTACGACCAGGTTTTCCTGAAGTGGGCTGGCCCGTGGTCCCTTATTGGGCTTCTTTTTACGATCCTTGTGTTGTTCGCATCTCAGGGCCGCCAGGTGGTTCATCAGATTGTATCGGTCGTTCGAGTTGCCGCTCCGCTCATCGTTTATTTTATCGTCGTCTTCTTCATCACTCTTCTTGTGACTTACAAGCTCGGGTTCGGTTACAAGTTGTCTGCTACTCAAAGTTTCACTGCTGCCAGCAATAATTTCGAGCTTGCTATTGCTGTCGCTGTCGCAACATTTGGTGCCAACAGCAATCAGGCGCTTGCCGCCACTGTCGGGCCATTGATTGAGGTTCCAGTACTGCTTGGCCTTGTCTATGTTGCCAAATTCATAGCTAAGCGAGCTGGCTGGAAAGACTGAATCGAAAAATAAGAGGAAATTTGCGACTTAGGCTAGGCTATGTTGAAGCGAGGGGACCGATCTCGAGGCGTACAGATAGGCAATGAACTTAACAGTAATAGAAATAATCATAATTTAGTGGTCAAAATTTGTCTAGATCAGGCTGAACATACGCCATACGACTTCCCGGGTGATAAGCCCGATCTGTAGTTTGAAGTGTCAATGGATCTCTAGGTGACTTCTGAGTTAAGATAATTATGAGACTCCGTTGTTTAACGCGTGGATAGCGTACATACTGAGGCCGACCGTACTATAGCCGATAATAGGAGTATCCCTTTAGAAGATGTACCCTTTCGTAAGTAAAAAGGGAGGTATTTGATTGGGAAGAGAGGGGGAGGGGGGCGGAATTCTAAGGCAAACCCCCATCCAATAAAGTTCATTGAGTGACCACCGGAACACACTATTCCCCCGCAGAAATTTGGTGGCGGTCTACATCCTAGCTCAAAGCATTGCTTATTAAACAAAATATGGAGAAGCTCCCGAATCAGCACAGCCCAGCCGAGCCGAGTCTTTTATGTCACAACTACAAGGTAACTGGTTACCTCAATATGTCTAAGTCGGTCCCCCGAAGACATTTCCAAATCGTCTGTAGTCCAGTCCCTAGAGCTCGAGAAATTAAGTTTGCCTAAAGCTTTTGTGTCTGTTAGATTCATCTGTCCCTTTCCTCCCCCCTTTTTTTCACCAGGCCACAAAAGACTCTTGATATCCATCATCCATCGATCGTCTGGCCTGATTAATTAGGTATTATGTGCTTTAGGTGGATACAACACCAATTTCAAAGTTGAAACCCCGGTACATCTGAGCTATTCAGCTATTAACAAGAGCACGAAGATCTTTTCCAGCATGAGCCCCTGGTTATCGTTGTTGGCATTAACACAACCCGCTGCTGTAGATGATTGTTCTTCAGCCACTAATACCATTACTAAAACGACATCTTCTGTTCCGAACCCGTTATTGCCATGCTCATGCTATATTTCTATTCTTATGTCGGACAACATTCAGCGCAGAAGTCAAGACGACGTCCACTCACCAAATGGACCTCTAGTGCATCGGTTGTACTCAAAACTGAACCTTTCGCAGCCGGGGCGACGGTGGCATCCCAGATCTGATGTCAAGTTGCTGCCTGCGAAGTACGAATTGACTGAACCGTCTGATTTGGTGGTGCTTATCTCGAGCATGCTCAAGAAATTGATTCAGATAAACGACAAAATGTCACTGGGCCAGGGTCAACAAACTAGGTTTCACTCTCGTACTGCGCCCCAAGTTTCCGTGTACAATTACCTTCAGCGGTTGGCTACGCACGCCAAACTCCCGTCTGCGATACTTCTCAGCATGGTCTATTACATGGATCGGCTCTGCATGTTATATCCTGCTTTCACGGTTTCCAGTCTGACGATTCATCGATTCCTAGTTGTCAGTGCAACAGTCGCCAGCAAAGGCCTGAGCGACAGCTTTTGGACCAACAAGACATACGCTCGAATAGGCGGAATCAGCACGATGGAACTGGGCATGCTAGAGCTTGAATTTTTGTTCAGGATGGAATGGAAAATTGTTCCAAAGCCAGAGGTGCTGGTTGACTACTACCGGTATCTCGTCGATCGGTGTGAGAGCTTCAAGATCGATGATCCGAGTTCCGACTCTAGCACCGCGTCAGTGTTGAGATAATCCACCCACGTGATATCGGCAGGGGAGGGGATAAGTTCTGTTCCTAAGAGATTTATTCTTAAATAAGGGCCATTAAAGAGTCGGCCGCGGCTGGGTCACAATACCAGCATGGATGGAGGATTACACCGCGTCTGGTTGGCTACAGCAATTTTTTTGCTTTGGTTAAGGTTACTCGTCGTAGGAGATAATGAGATAGAAGGCTAAAGTACGACATTTGAAAAGCATAGTTTCACAGTAAGGGACTATACAGTTCTTTACTCTATCGTCCACTATTCACAAACTGTCTTAAATCATAACTGCCTGAGAATCCCTCTTCGAATTTTTCAATCTTTTCCCGCCTGGTTCGCTGAAATGATCAGCAAGAAAATTAGATGTGGGCCCGCACCAATATTGTATATTTAACAAAGTCCTCGAAACAGTCAACGGTTGCCAATAGGCATGAGCCGCTCATCCGGATTGACCTTCATCCGGAATGGGTGTACGACTCCGTAATTGAGAATGATTTGTGATGGTAACATACGCATCCAGCCACCGAGGATACTAAAGCAGTTAACAGCCTTAAACAATTGTGATCCACCACACATCTGGGGCAATGGCGAGCATTCGGCCTTGAGTTGGACAAGCGCTTGCAGTGCTTAAAGGAATCCAATTAATGCATCGCTATGGTAAGGTACCCCTTTCTATGCTGTCGGACTAATTATTCATGATGATAGATCGTATTGTCTAGCTTTACTGCATCTGCCAGAGATTCATGGCTATCACCTATCCAATATGTCGAAAATGGACATATTTTTCACCATGCAATTTGGTTCTGAATCACATCCAAGTTCGGATCGGACATCACGAAGGTCTGAATGATTTCGTATACTTTCGATAAGGCTTGCTGCAGCCACGCACGATGTAAATTGACCTGTATCCTGAACACCGCCAAAGTGCTCTGATTCAGGGACAGTTTCGCCTATGACAGAAACGAGCTCGACTGCTCGCCCTGCACTTGATTCTTGGATATTGGAGGCATCTATGCTGGTCATTGCATCTGATCTAGACGGTGAAGACCTCATCTCAAGAGTCTTAAGCGGATGCGATGAGTTGTTCACCTTCAAAGGAGTTGCCAATGAATGATGGTGATCCACGGAAGTTTGGCCGTGGGCCGTCGGCAAGTGCAATTTTGCTGATGGTAGGGAGACCACTGGTGGAAACTGAGAACGGATAGAGCTTGCTGTTTGTCTTTGAGATTCCAAGTATTCTTCGATTTGTGTTTCGGTGACACCATGGATCAGCAGCAGGGATCGGAGAGAAACGTTTTCTGCTGCGACTTTTCTTCCTGCTTTTTGAACCTCCTGTGTCGCCGCTACGCCAAGCCTTTCATATGACCTTAATTGTTGCTCAAGTTGTTGGGTGTATTCCTTGCGCCGTGTGCGAGAACGCCGTTGATTTTCGCGGATTCGAGCGGATGATACATCACACTTCTCCATATTGACAGCTTTCTTTCCCTTCATCCCTGTGCTCGTAAATGGGAATGCAAGTGGTGAAGGTACAGATTTGGGGGTATAGGGGAACTCTTAGAAGTCTGAAGATATGGTCAAGCTGAAACGGAACTCAGTGGCGACTTTTAGTCATTCTTCTAACTAGCCTAACCCTGAAAATAACTATCCAGCCCGGGTGGGGCAAAAAACATATTATCCGGGAATCTATTTTTAATATTATTGTCCAATCACATTTAGTTAATGACATACTTCCTCCCTTTGGGGAAGTTTTACTATACAACTGCACGTATAGGCAACTTTCTGACTGTCTTGCCTTTTTGTTACCTTTGCCACCTACCTTCGCGAGTGTAACCTATGCTATCTTACTTTATACAAAGAGCGCCATCGACTTTTAGGCCGGCAATTCCATCATCCCTGCTGCACCCTACATATTCAGCAAGGATATCTTCCGCTGTTCCTCAACAAGTGATTGCGAACACCCGCCAAATCGATGTCTCATATCGAACTCTAGAGTTACGTCCAAGTGAAGATAGCCGAGATATCCGCCAGAAGTATCGGCCATTCATCCTTAGCGACGATGCAACTGAAGACTGGGTCAATAACTTAGACTTGACTACTGCAATGGACATGGCTGAACTTGACCTGCAGCTTACAAACAAGAGGCTGAGGGTTCTGGTACTTTATGGCAGTCTTCGGAGAAGGTCATATTCGCGGCTAGTGGCACTGGAAGCTTGCCGTATCCTTTTCCGGCTCGGCTGTGATGTGCGTATCTTTGATCCTGAAGGTCTTCCGGTAAAGAACGACAACGATACCGATCATCCTAAAGTACAGGAGCTCCGAGAGCTTAGTGTGTGGAGTGATAGACATGTCTGGGTCTCGCCTGAGCAACACGGAAACTTAGTGAGTGACCTTTCGCGAGTGTTCTAATACTCAGTGCAGTAATTACTGACTCGTTCTATCCCCAGACCGCTGTATTCAAGAACCAGATCGACTGGATTCCTTTGACGACTGGAAGTGTCCGTCCTACCCAAGGCCGAACGCTGGCCATTGCCCAAGTGTGCGGTGGATCCCAATCGTTTAATGCCGTTAACTCTTTGCGTATCCTGGGTCGGTGGATGCGCATGTTTACCATTCCAAATCAGTCCTCGATCCCCAGGGCATATACGCAATTTCCGGATGAAGGTCAACCAGAAGATCAACGACTCATGCCTAGTGGCAACCGAGATCGTCTCGTGGATTGCATGGAGGAATTCGTCAAATACACGATTCTGATGCGGCCTCATATCGGTCTTTTCGGTGATCGCTTTAGCGAACGGGAGGAGAAGAAAGCAAAGGAGGAAAAGATGAATGCTGCTGCAGCCAGATAAGAGATATAGAGCATTATAGACAATGCCTGGGAGACAATATCTTATAAAACGATTCTTCAGCATAGTGAAGTAGAGTTGGCCCGTCGTTTAGGTGACCACCCCGCTCAAGAACGACGCCGAGGAAAGTAACTATTGGCTGGGCAGCTCTGGGACAGTGCATAAAGTATGAGGCTGTATCTTCCTGATTACCAGGGTGACTAGACTATATAAGCATGTAACTGGAATAGAGAAGGCAATGCCGATCCAAATTGTGAGCGTGAAGAACAATATGAAACCTTTCATCCTCAGACGAGGTTGTAATACAAAAGCATTTGGTTGATAAAGATCAGGCCGGTTGCCCTCATTAAAGAACCTAAATAAGGCTGGTAATTTCATTCTGTTCAACATCGTCTGAATGAACATCCTGGCTTGGTATATTGGGTGAAACACGTAGTTGTATGGAAAGCCCTTTACCGGGGCGTGTTGGATCCGGTTAACATTATTGAGGACGTGAAGAATGGCGGGAAAGGATTTATTTGATGGCATATCGAAAGTAGATATATACAGAATAGTGTGGGCTCCAATTATCTAGGGGGATAAAAAGAAACGAATAAAGTAGACATAGTTGTGGTGAAGCATATCAGGCGCAGATACGAGCGAAAATGTGATGAGTCTAAACTTCCTGACCGCTTCTTCGAGAGGTTATTACGACATATAGGACAGGAGTCTACTCATACAAATGCATGTAAGACGTGGAAAAAGATGATTGGATATTTGGCCACTTAGTTTTAAGAATTTGTCTGCCACGTACCAAGAGTAGGGACGCATTGGAGAGTAGGGACGCACTGGAGAGTAGGGACACACTAGAGAGTAGGGACGCACTGGAGAGTAGGGACGCACTAGAGAGTAGGGACACACTGGAGAGTAGGGACACACTAGAGAGTAGGGACACACTGGAGAGTAGGGACACACTAGAGAGTAGGGACACACTAGAGAGTAGGGACACACTAGAGAGTAGGGACACACTGCAGAGTAGGTAGAGACTGGATGATAGG